GGGAGCGGAGGCGGAGCGGGAGCGGGGGTTCCAGGGGAAGCGACGTGGCGCGGCCGAGTTACGACTGGGCCCCGGTGTCTGTTGGACAAAAAGCCTGCGGCGGCGGCGGCGCCGGTGAGTCTGCAGTCGCAAAGCGAACGTGGCGCGGGAGTTAACGCCCGCGGCAGTAACCGTTTCGACGTTACGACGCTCGTCGCCCGCGCCGCCCGAGCTGCGAGGGCGAGGACGAGGAGGGGAGGAGCGGGCAGCGGAAGAGCGCACTTCGCAGCAGACTCCGCTGCTATGGACCGAGCCCCTTCAGCGGCACTAATATGCCATTCGGTTCAACCTTACGTTCTGTTTTTAAAGCTGCGTCAAACAAAGGTTTTGTCGAACAAAGAGCCTTATATCTATAAAACTTCATTATTCAAGTGAATGAAAACTTTTATTGGTATAAACAGTGTACACAGATCATGTCGGGGTTTTATCACTACGAAAAAATTTACTTATTTGAAGTAGAGATTATTATAAAATATTTTAATTGTTTTAATGGGTGTATTAGGAAATAGATCCTTAAATATATTCCAATCACAATAAATATTAATTCTAAAATAAAAACAGATGTTGCATTCTCCAAGTATGTAGCTGGAGGAAACCCACTCAACTTATTTTGGATACCAATGATATGCTCAATTAAAAATTAAATTAGTTCTCTTAATGCTCTTCCCCAAATTTCCTGATTTCTTTTTGTTTTAACCTTGACTCATAACTTTAAAAACTCATTTTTAACCACCATATCACGATGGCCAGAGTCGCTAGTGCTAACTTATTATATTCTGCGAAATCGTTATGACACAAATATGAACATAATTTAAAGGTGCTACAACTGCACTACAACTATCATTATTTGTAACTTTTGCCATTTTCGAAATAATCAGAGAGATCGACGAAAATTAGACCTCAGCATTTATTAAGCGCCTTTCGTTCTATAAGTGGAAACATGAAAGAAAAAAATTGAAGCCTTTTTGAGATTTTGTTTATAAATTGCTTTAACTTCAAGCAGAAATTAGTGAAAATATTTGCTTTTTTTTTTCAAAGAACGTTATTCAAAGAGCAATTTAAGAACATTTGATTTAAGAAAACAATATCTATCATCAATAATGTACTTTTGCGATGTTAATTGTCTGCAATTTTCAAAAATATATAGTGTTTGCCGAATGTAGGTCCAGGACCAGTTTTTTCGTCCTTTGCTACATATGAGAAAACGTTTAATGATAAAATTTTAATCGTTTTTGTGAAAATAATTGATTAAAAAGTACCTATATTTCTCGCAAATTTACACGAAAATTACTCACATTTGTGAAAATTTTTTTAAAAAAGGAGCATGGAAGAAAAAAACCCTAGCAAATTCTATTTGTTCATGTCCTTATATTTACGTACATTCTTAAAATGTTAATAACTAATATGACATATACAAGGTCAAAAAAAAAAATTTTCGGAGCTAAACCTGGGAGTCATATAAGTCAGACTTCGTAAGGACGGGGGGGGGGGTGAGAAGTTTTGCATTTTGTTTTGACAGATCAATCATATTCTGCCACTTCATTTAAATTCTCATGCCGTGATTAGAAGACTGGTTGTCTTCGTAAAAATTGCAAGTTAATGAGTAAAAATGTAAAATTAAAAAGTTTCCCACAAGTCGTTAATTAACTCAACTTCAAGAACTTTCGGTGTTTAATGTCTCCGTATTTACTGCCAGACTGTTAGTTTTTATGACTTCTACTATTCCTCTCGTGTAATGATTCTTTTTTCTCGTGAAATACATTCAGACGTACGAACACACTTTGAGCGATGTTTTTCGAGTCTTCTTTAGAAAGAGATGTATCGAATGCAGAGAGGAAGAAATGTAAAATAAGTAGTTCATATCCAACTTTAATAAACCACTGTTGTTGGACGTTTTACATTTCCCACACTTGAAACATGCGAGAATCAGTAGGGAAGTTGTGCGCGGAGTGAGTGTTGCGTGCGGTGTCATTGCAACCTTGCTAGCGTCATTGCATGACATTTAAATGAAGCATTGCACGCCACAAATTGCACGTCTCTTCGCATTCAAACGCTGCGCGGGAGCCGCAGAGCCTTGTAATTAACTCTCATCAACACGTTGAACGTTTATGGAGATGTTTGCAGCACGTTTATGCTAATTGCTTGAAGGTGGAAATTTTTTTTTATTGCGTTCTTCACTTTTGAAAACCAGTATCGGGCGAATAATGGTCGGATGCTAGATAATTTAAGGTACATCATTCTCTTCTAAAGATATTTGTTTTCTCTATTATATACGACTAATCGTATAACATTATATGACTTTTACATGATTGTTATAGCAATTCGATTATAACATAGTTGACATACATTCAGAAATATATTTACAGTTTACAGGAAAATCAGGATATACTCCCTCAGGATACGAAGGCGGGCCTTAATGTTTGTATGTAAGAACATACAATGGAAACAACAGTCGACATAAGAACATATAACCTGACAACAACAACTTTCAATTGCAAGAGCTTATCCAGTGAATTTTTGGCAATGCTATTTCTACGATATTTCCCATGACTAAACGAAACTGATTCATTGCTGTTTCCTATCTCCTACAATGTGGTTTCCTGCTTCGTATGTTGAGTCAGCGCTGCAGAGTCGTTGCTAAACCCCAAACTCAAGGTCTTGTGCATCCTTTACTACCTTGCGGTGGAAGTGGTTTCATTACAATAAGGTGCAAGATTTTAAAGAAATGTCTGACAGTTGTCGACATATATGATACGGCCATGAGGTATATTTATCTATTTTTCTTTTTCTTTGTATATATTTTACATGGTTATCTGTTTTACCTTGCCCCAGTACACTTGCTTTCTCTCCATCACGTGTTGATAGAGAGTCAGAAAGACGTCAATGTTGTATATACACGACTGTAGCATCTGATGTGAAAAGTAACAAAAAATGCATATTTAATTACATTTCATATGCTTTACCACATACAGCTTCTGTAGATTTTGAAAACTCTCATGTCAGTCTCTCTCACGTAAAATGATATTTAGAATAATGCGGGTGCATACTTACAAAAGCTTTCATTTATATTATCACTTATAAAATATTGTATAAAACATTTCAGAAAAACTTAGAATCCTGACAATGACAGTGGATACAAACGTTTTAGATTTCTGATTTCTTCAAAAATATGTTAATGTAGTTACGAACACGGTAGGTTTTATTCTTGGTATTTATTCACCTGCTTAACCTTTCTGCTTCGCAAATACCATCGTGAAGATTCCTAGTCACAATTCTTCCTTGACCTATAACTCATGAGCCCCTCAATTGCGCGCATGCAAAATCCTCAACACAGAGGCAGAGGTGGCGTTAGGCAAGAAAGGAGGAGCAGAGAAAGGCGTTTGATGAGATGTTTCGCGAATATGCTCTAGTGCCGCGAGCGCTGCTTCTGCCAGGGTGCAGCACTGCGTGCGTGCAGCACCTGCGACTTGCGAATGCGCGCGAGCCCTGAGCAGGACAGGGGAACGGGACGACCTCCCTTAAGGAGACACAAGCTCAGGAGCTCAGACGCGAACGGTTGGGCGCGGGGGGGGGGGGGCAGAAGCAGCCACTCGAAATTCCCGTCGATGGGAGTTCTTTACAACCAACCCCGTTGTCTTTGCTACTACTGAGGATGCTTCTTCTACACAGACTCGGCTCCTGTTGGTACGAAGAATTATCTAAATAACCCACTTTTAACTGTTTTACTTTCATATTTATCACGTCCGTGCTAACCGTCTTGTCTATGACATACTAACAGAACAGTCACTCTTTTAACATGTCCAAATTCGTTACTTGATTTAATCGGTGTCATCATCTACTACGGTTGGGAGGAATATGTTTACACCTTACTAACGCTTTTAATTATCGCAACGTATTAGCTAAGATACGACCTCATTTCCTTTTTACTTTTGCATAGATAATTTTGTCATTAATCATTAAATTTCAACTTGTACCACGAAGAATAGTTAACGTGAACCATCGTCCAGTAAATCTTCGTGGGGAGAGGTCACACCTACATCACGTACAACATCTCAACTGACATTTGCAGCCATACCTTTACCCCTTATGCATACCCCACCAACCAACCACGGTCACAGCCCGTAAGCGTCGCTGACCCACTGCGATCTCCAAGGCTCCGCGCCGGCGTGGCTACCGGCCCGCGCCGCCTCCGCGCGGGCGCCCGCACTAATCCGCGGGGCAAGGGGTGTGCGGCTGTGGTGGAACTTTCACGCGCTTCGCGTGTCTTCGCCGGCGCGTTCGCCGTTGACGTAAGAACGCCGCGCGCCGCTGCACTACCCGTCGTGCGTCGCCCGCCCACGGCCGCCGGCGAAGGCAGGTCCGGCTGGCCCGCTTCTTCGAGTCGGCGGGACGGGACGGGACGGTGCGGGACGGTGCGGGACGGGACGGGACGGAGCGGAGCGGTGCTGGATGCGCGGAGATGGGTGGAGGCGGGGTGGGGTTGGGGTGGAGGACGGCGCGAAAGGCTGATGCACGACCGACGCGCGCCGCGTTTGGCAGCTAACGGGAGAAGCAGGTTAGGAACCCGGCTGCCGCCCCGCGGCGCGCGGTGAATCACATCCGGAACGGCGCACGCGGCCCCTACGCTGCGTAGTAGAGCTGCTCACGATATTGTCGTCACAGGGAATCCCAATTCGATGGCCAAATGTTCACCTTGCGCGTCATTGTTTTTTTTAAACTTATTTAAGATCGCTTTTTGACTACTAAGGTCATACAGCAACCACTGTAATTAACATTGGGGGTAACGTTAACGATACAGACGAACGAACACGGACACAGAAAAACATCTATGCCCCGGATGGGATTCGAACCCGCGATACTTCAGGCACGAGGCAGCGGCGGCTCTTCAGCCTCGACTACTCAGGCCGGTGAACCACAGGATTAGGGCTCGAATTTTTGGTGTTGTACCTATTTTGTTCTTTGCCCCCAAAGTAGAACGTTCTTCTGCAGTTATCTAATTCACGATGTTGGGTGTTCGAAGTATTATTTTTACCACACCTAAAACGTCCAATTGAGATTTTAGTCCCTAAAGAAATTAAAATCTAAAAATTGAAATCTAAAAATTGTGTACTGTGGTATTTCAATGATTTCTTCAATTCGCCTTAGCATGAAAACATTAGTACCATGTGCGATAAAGTGTTGATATGTTACGATATATTGAAATTCAACCAAATACCTGAACATACGACTCTTGATTGGTGGCTGTCGTGATTTAGGCAACTAGGAAGTGAAACCCGCGAATGATAATCACCTCAGAAGAGCCAAAGGCTATGCTGCGTGCTAGCACATGCTCCGAAGGGTCGATACTTGGGAAACCAGGCGCGTCCTTCCGTGGTTTTGCCTTTGTAGTTTATTTTCATTCAAATACTTTTCGTATTGTTTTGTTACTTTGCACATTGTTTATTGCTTTAAATGTTTGTGTTTTTAAATTTTATGTTGATAGAACAATAGTGTATAGTCAATTGCCCATATAATTGTAATATAAACGTAACATTTCAATTTCAATTGGATTGTGACCATGAAAATTATGAAATTACCTGCCCTTACATTATTCAAAGATAAGAAATGTATCTTGAATATTAATGTCGACAGTATAAATAGACAACTTTTTATTGCGAATTGTTGTCCAAAACGATACTGATAATATTATTATTTATATTTGAGTCCACTAAAATAAATTTATTAAACTCTGAATTCCCAAAACATTTTGTATCTCTTGTTCCTGTACAGTATATTTATCTTTTTAATAAATATGTATTTCTATTCAGATTACGCTGGTATACAACTATGATTTTATTTTCTCGCATACTACAATCGTAATATAAAGAATGTTATGTATTGCTGCAGCAAAGAAATGCGATGTTTTGGCAGAAAAATTCGTAATGTAATTCTCCCGATTCCAAAAAATGGATAATTCTTCTCCCTATGTATAGTAAATTACTTCCTCTAACTCGTTATGTAGTCATAATCCCTATTTTGTGGGTCCTTGATATCGAAAAATTGGTTTACAGAAAAACATATCTTCGTCCGTCAGTGAACAACGCTTGCAGTTATATCATCAGCAGATTTCACCAAAATTGAATATTTTCCTATTGATCTATTTTCCCACAAATGGCTCCACATTTTTGGATTACTTTTTTTATCGGAAATGTTTACTTTTTTAGAGGAAAGTACGCCTACAAAATGGCCTAAATCATTTTAATGTTCATAGAAGTCTCTAAAATTTTGAAAATTACAAAAGTTTAAGGTTTTCGGTGTCGTTCTCCATCTCCTATTGAAGATTGACTTTCATTATCAGTAAAATCTGTTATTTAAAATTAGATCTTTAAATGCAGACATGCGCATTTTTTAATATGAGTTTTCATGTAAGTTTGAGTCAAATAACGGCAATGTTAAAAAAAAGATTTTCTGAAAAAACAACTCTTACTTTGTAATTCTAATACAGATATGTAGGAATCACGTCTATCGATATCTGTTTTGTGTTTGAAGAGTTTGTTTGTTTTGCTTTCTGAACATTTAGACAATATTTTTCTGCTTTTGTTTTGTTTATTCGTGAGCTCTCGGTCAAATTCACATATTATTCGTTAATTGTGTGCACGAAGAGATTGCTAAGCTAGAGAAAATAACAAAAGACAAAAGGCATTCTGCATGTCGCAATGTTTTCCCTCATCATGGAAGTAGCGATTAAAAGCTTTTTTCAGCTTAGTCAAATACTTTTCTTTATATATTTCATTTCGTTTTGGACTTCCGAATGTCCTTGATCCCTTGAGCTAAAGTGGCGATTCATATGCCAATTTCCCCTGCTCCTTTATATTTCCAGAGGCATAGGTTTCTAAAGAGCAGCTTCAGTCATACACCCATTCACACACACACGAATGGCGAATGAGCGAAAACGCCACGCCCTCCCTTGTGCGTTCAGTGTACATTGTCCTCCCCGGAGTTAGCTCTCTGTCACATTCCCTAACATTTGAGCATTGCTGGTTGTGTGGCATTTCAACATGTAGGAGCGGCATCACTGCAATGTACCTCTGTTCGATGGAACGCTCCCAACTGAGTGCGTGCACACCGGCCTGTGTACAATGTCATTTCCAGAAGAACTCTCCGTTCACTGCATACACAGAGATGAAATTATTGAAAAATACTTTATAAAATTTTAAAAATACAACACGATTTTTTTAGCTGTAAGATAAATGCAGGTTTTAGATTTTTGACATTGGTAGATAAAGGTAAAAAAGACACCAGATAAGATTTAGAAAGTTCTCAAGGAATGAAAATATCTTAAGTCGTGTTTTACTTTCCGTCAAGATTGCCGACAATGCACGTCAAAATCATGTCAAGAAATCTTATTCAATGCTGGACACTGTAGTATCAGTTACCGTATCAGTTTCGCGCTTTTCAATACGCTTTGAAGTTTCCCCAGAGAAGAAGTTTTTAGAGGGAACCTTTGAATCTCGTCTAGAGGCATTTGGACCCCTCCGACGGGATGCTTCGCCGGCACGAACAGCTCCAAAGTGCAAAGAGCCGTGCGTCTGGTAATGCCACTTCTCGCCTTCGTCATGCTGTCGTCGCCGAGTACCGCCACTTAACGGTCGCAAGAAAGTGGACGCAGCGGGCTGTTGTTGCTACCGCGTGACTGGGAGGCACCGCAGCGCTCGGCGTGGGGGCGGGGCGGGGGCGGGGGCGGGGGCGGGGGCGGGGCCCTCAATGGAGGATGCAGAGTCACACGCGCTCCTGCGCGGTTGCGGAACACGATGCGGACACCCGGCGCGCAGTCATACGCGCCCACGGGCCGCGCGCGCGTAGAAAGCACGCGTCATGTTCAGCAGTCGCCGCCGCACCCGTCGATAGAGACAGTTGCAACGGCGAGCATTGCGGCGAAACCAAAGCATTGCTGGTTTGTTGTTTACGGCTTTGCAAGGGTTGTGGATTCTAATCAAGCAAAAGGCGTGGATGCTTAATTATTTTATTAAATCGTGGTAAAACTCTATACTTTTTCATCTAAATCATTCACCGTTCGATAATTTGGTCAGGAAAAGCAAGTATCAAGTGTCTGTACTTGGTTTTAAAACACATAAAATACTCATTCGCAATACTTTAACAAACATTATTTCTACAAAGATTGGTAACATAACATGAAAATACTTAATACTTAATTTATGGAATGCAAATAAATATGATACGATGAAAGATTTCTCCATCGATTTTCAAATTCACCTTTTTTACAAGTCTAGTAATAATTACCAATTTAATAGGAAGTTATCTTTTCGATGTCTATTTTCACATTTTGTTATTTGCTGTATGTTATTCGAACTGCTAAGAGAATCGCTCTCAAACACGCAAAAATCAAATCCAATAATTTAGAAGTTCCTTTAGTGATCTATAATGTTTCGTATACGCTGCAGTAAAAATCAGGCAAATGATTTATGAGTTTGTTAATTGATAAATAAATATCTCTTTTCTTTGAGAATGGGCGATGAAATTTTTAAGATGACTCGAAGGACGTTTGACCTCTGTCCAAATAGTCGTTTTCAAAGACGAGCATCACCAGTAGGCGAATGCGCTAGACGGACTGAGGGCGTTACTTCTGACGTGCTCTGCCCGCGGAATTATTGATAAGGAGGTGGAGCGATCCGTGCCCGTCCGAAGCACGTTCACGTTCTACTTCTTGGAATCGCGGTTAAGAAGGCTACCAGGCCATGAGGGGTATTAAAGGCGGGAGGTTTTAACACGTTAATATTCTTCAATGGAGGAGCGGTTGAGGGAGCACGTGCAGTGGTGAGTGACACGTTCGCTAAACATCATTTACTTTGTGAAATTTATAAAATTCATGTACTGGCTGCTTTGGCTGTTTTCTTCAAACGTAATACTTTGGCAAAATGTGAAAATTTAGCACAATATTAAAAATCAATGAAGTGTACACTTTTATGAACAAAAACGTAGCAATGAATGTTGGGAGTAGCGATCATATATTTATTTTCTGCATTACCGGAACTTCATTTCATGCTATGAATAGACACGGCCTATTTGGAAATACTGTGCTTTCACTTTTATTTTATTATGACGGAGACATAAATTAAGCCCCTACAACAAAGATCCTTGGTCATTACTCCGTGACGCAAAGAAACATTTTGAAAGGGAATTATCTGCATAAATCACTTCAAAGTATGTGGATTCCCTCCTCGTAAGCACGTCTTTCCAGAATTTTAGAAATGCGCATTGGGCAGGGCTGCATTTGCTTGAAGGTCGCTTGCTAGAGAAGACCTTTGGCTCTGCATAGCCAGGACTCTTTCGCGCGAGAGTAGGCCACGCGGTGCATTAACCTTACGCGTGGAGGTAACGTTATTCTAATGGCGGCGGCGGCGGCGACGCGGCGACGTCCGCGGGTAATCAGGGGCGTTGCGCAAGAGCCGCTCAGACATAAAGCCAAGATTAAATGCTGACCTCTGCGGCCGGTGCGGGGCAACGCCGTGGCGGTAGTTCGAGTAGTTGTAGTTGCTACGTGTAGGTGTGGTTCGTTAAGGGTAGAGTAGGTGTAGCTGGTACCAACTACACC